GCCGGCACTAAAGTACCACGGCACTGAATCCGCCAGAGGGCTAGTGCCAATCGCATTCACACCGCAGTACTTTCCCTGAGGCAAGATTACGCTGACGTCACTTCGTCTTCTTCTTCTCTGGGTTTACTGGCAGGCCGCAAAACCACTTCACGGCGAGTACACAAAAAAACGAGAGAAGAAGAACTACACGGGGGAGGGGGTATAAAGACCACCCGCTGTATGAGGCGTTTGTTTACTTTCCAACCTCAGACATGATGGAGTTCATAAGGGTAATTTACAAATAAAATACCCCATTATAACAATGGACTTTATCTTTAAGTATTTATTATATATTACCCCCTCAGGCTGATTTTGGAAAAGGACATTAACCCTTGTTTGGTGTTTTTCCCTTATTTATCTAAAACAAATGACATGATAAATGACTTGTGTTTATGTGTGTAAGACTTGTGTTTCTGCCCGTGCCATTGCTGCACAAGGTTGCAACATTGTAGATAAACTCAACCACACCTGTCTGCTCTCACATTCTTCTATTCTGCACATTTGGGGTGGGACACAATAAATAAAGCTTCGCCAGTTTGTTTGTTTTATTGCACAGTCAAGACATAACAATAACGGCATCACGCTGTTCCAGGTGTGTCGTATGCATGTAAATTGAAGTTAAATAAAAGTGTGAAATGTCAAATAAAGTGTATGTAGTTTCAAAACAATGTAACAGTGGCAATATATATAGCAGCAGACACACCTTAGTGCAAGTTAGGTGTCAGTATTACAAAACAGTGGCAATATATATATATAATAAGAATAGAAAATCGTTACCACTCTTATTATTGTGGTCTTTAATTTTTTTATAGTCCTGCCTGAGTTTCTTTATTTTTACCCGGCATCCGTGTGCACTGTGCACGATTCCCAGCTCAAGTAGCTTTTGCGAACATCGCTCAAAACATTTGGAGTTGGGAACTGCTTTCTGTAGAAGCTGCTGCATCCCGTCCTCAGAGTAAATTGCCAGAAGCGCCGACACTTCCTCATCATTCCACCGCTCCGGTGTTGTAGTACGTGTGGTCATAACTGCTTTAAAGTACAAAAAAACGACTCGCTCAGGTGTGGATGTGGTTTTGTAGCAAGGAAAAAAATGGCTGCCTAACAAAAAAAATTCAGAGTCTAACGGGGCGTGGTTTGCAATTCGCCCAGCCAATTGAAATAGAATATAAATTGGCACTCTTTTATCACCAGGTTCGTACCACCTCTCTAGCAGGGACTGAAAATGGCCAAAAGAGTTCCCGGCACTGAGTAGTCCCGGCGGTGTGAACGCGACATTATTGGTACTAACGGAACTAAAGTACCAGGGAAAGTACCAGGGAAAGTCCTGCGGTGTGAATGCGGCTCTTGTTCATTCAGAAAACAGTACTCTCTTAGAGATGACTTTAGGCAGCCAGTATGGTACCTGAGAAAAGCTATTCTAGTATAGGCTGAAATAGACCATTCAAGTTAGCTCAAGACAGAGCAACACTAGAAATCTATTATGCTTCAGTAAACTGGCTGTTTACCAAAGGCTGTGCTCAACTAACACATTCTTCTTTAGTTGATTTATGCAAAAATAATTGCAGTACATTTTGTATTTACCAGAAATATGCCCTTGAGTTTCTTGGAAACATGTTATATAGTATGACAATGGCACAAAACACGAGTAATCGACAGAAAAGGTCGACTAAAACCAAAAAGTTTCTCTTTTTTTTTTAAATAGACAATCTGACAATCACATCCATTTTAAACCGTGCCTGGCTAGCTCCTTTGAAAGTTCGAAAAGAGGTTCAGTTCTGCATTCCTCTTCAAAAGTAAAAATGTAACTAGCTTTTCCATCATTTTGCCAATTCTAAAAAATATATTGGACTGTAGCAGAAATATGTGGGGAATTTCTGGGAAAGTTTGGCTATTTCAGTGACAGGCGGACTTGCCTCCCACAGCTACTACATCAGATTCAGTTTTGAGTTCTTTTTACTCTGAGTGATGAAAACCAGATTGCTCTTCTTTGAAGAAAAACATAAACACACCAGGAAGAAAGATCACTTTTAGGTCAAAGAAGTGTTATGACTTCACATAGCAGAAATAACTTTGTTTTTCATGGTGGCACCTGCACATTGTGATATGCACTGAATTAATCAAGGGTTACTTTTTCTTAAACTGTACTCTCGTTTCGTTGTAGATATAATAATCAGCATGTCAGCTCCCTTTTTTGTACAAAGAATGTGTGAAAAAATACTCACTTAACTACAGAAACACACTAAAAACCAGATCATGGGTTTTTTTCTTGAGCTGATCTGAACTACATGCATTTGTAATGACCTTTCTCCTCATCACTTGTTGTTGAATAGCCTATTCTGATCAGCAGTCACCACTGAAATAATCAACCCCCACCCTTTATATACACACACGCACACACACACACACACAAAGGATGTGGTTCTAACAGAAAGCTATGGAGCTGGCAGGCAACAGTGTGCATTGATGGTGGATTACAGCAACAATGTGCAGTGAACAGAAAGGGCAAGTGACAAGAATTGAAGGCAGAGTGGAGCCTTGCAAGCAGCAACATAAATGAATTGTAAAAACTTACCAAAAATAACAGTAAAATGTGGTGTTATGTAACAAAACACGTATACCATGGTTATAAATTATATATAAATAGTAATTGCAAAGTAGAGTGATTGGTTTTCGGGTCACACACAAATAACTTGTTTAAAGTCATGGAAAAAATATAAAATTATTACAATTATTTGATTAAATCCGAAGTGTGTAAAACCGGAATAATGATTTAGCCGTAAACGTATTTGCTGTGGTTGTCCGCTAACTTCCCAAATTGGAGGTGTTATGAACAAAAGAAAGCAAATGTAAAGGCAGAATTTATGAGCTGTATTTGTCCAAAACCGCCCTCGGAAACCAAATGCGAGGAAATCGCATGGTTGTTGTCATCATGACTCGGTAATTCGCTTATAATAAATAACGGTTTAGCGATGAATTTAACTGGAAGCAACAAGCGACACGTTGTTGTTGTTTTCATTGTTTCGGGCGGAGCACAGGTCCACTTGTACTTACTTGGATGACCATCCCCTCCACTTCACGAGATACTCCAACTTTCCCTGGAAGAAAAACCAAGAGCGGAAGAACGTTTTGTAAACAGCTAGAAGAAGAATAACTGCGACTAAAAGTTTTGAATTGTTTCACAGCTCTGACCTTTTTCAGCCGCTTGTTTAAAATGCACTCCGCATCAAAGACCTGCTCTCCCACGGCGCTCAGCTCCTCCATGTCTGCCTTCGCCCCGAGTAACAATCCTTTATGATACAAGAGGCGCGTGGACCTGCACCGAATGACGCTCGGACAGGACCGGGTGTGCTTAGTATTGCCTTCAAAATAAAGCTCTTACTGTGAAGAAAGTTTTTTCCCCCTTATCAAACTCATTAAATAGCATAAAGCCACCAAAAATATCATGTATACTTAAAAAAAAATGTACAGTTTTTAACGTTCTACTGTTGATATTACTACAAATGTAGTACTTTATATTTTCTGTTTCTCTACTCCTGTATAATGAATGCCAATCATGGACTTGATATAACTCCTAATGCTGTATCAAAATCAGTTACACATTTGGTATCAATGACGTTTATATCTGTTTATCTACACATACTGTGCAACACAATGCAATATTAACAGTATCAAATATCAGTATATTCAAAATATAAACACATATAAATAAACATAATTGTATAACTTAAAAACACAATAAGAAGCAAAGGCTTTAAAAAGGATAATCAATTAAACTCCAAGAAAACAATCAATTTCATGCAACCTTAAGGTGTTACATTTATTTGAGTGATAAAAAGCACAGTTAGAAGTAATCATAGACTGTATATATAAAGGAAGTAATCCATTCACCAGATGAATGAGGGCAATAGATAGAACATTGGTTGTGTGGAAATAAGAATGTATCTGGTCCGAAACTAATTTTCTGTTTTAATGTATAGACAGGTTCTCTTTAGTCTGACTTTGTTTATTGTGACCGTTTCAAAATACCAAGGCAAATTCTTTACATGTTAAATTACTTAGTTTCTGATTTCTAATTCTGATTTGAAATAATGATTGTAAATGTATAGGCTGATGCTTAAAATATTGAGTGGTATTTTTAGAAATAGCTCAGGTAACTTCAACAATGTCCATTGTTTAGACAAGTAAGTTATTTAAACTGATGTGAATTTTGTAATGTGAACACTTGGAAGTATGTTGATATAAATTATAAGCAGACAAAAAACAGTACCACTCCCACCAAAGATGTCATACATCACATTATTTTGAAAGTTGTAACAGGAAGTGATCTGTTTCCGCGCATAGCTTGACACAACTTAGAACGTGTTTGCTTAAATGTGTCCCCCGGCAGCCACCGTTCTCTGATCGAAACACTTATTCACTTAATGTAAGTGAAAGTAGACGTGATCATAATTGCTTCGATCGTATAAAACATTGTTTTCGAATTAAGTTTTAAACGGAAATGTCTTTTATTGCTGCCTTTACTTGTTTGTGGTATAAAAGTTATTACATATCTTCTACATTATTAGCATTTAACAGAAGTTGTTGTATTGGCGGCCTTTGTTTAAGCAGCAAGGAATGCTCTTATTCAAGGCAACTAACGGTATTACACAATTGTAAGACACTTCATAACCATACGTAGAAGAGAACATGTTATTACAGTCCGTGCATCGAACAATTAAACAGAATGACAATAAACAAAAAATTAGCAGATACTTATTTTATGAATTTAATACAATTACATTCAACTCATTTTGTTAACTTCTATTCTCCGTTTTCGAACAAACATTATATTAACAAAATGGTATGCAAAACTCTGCTCTTGTGTTCCTTGTGCAGAGTGCATTTCTTCACATGTGATAATACAATAATTACCCAGAAGAGATTTCCAGCAAGCAGCTTTCTCAATGACAGACTGTAGCAGCATGTTTTTGTTTTGTTTTTTATTTGTTGTTGTGGCGTTCAAAGTGAAGTCTGGTATATCATTTATTTTGCCGGAAGTTGATCTGAACTTACTGACCTGAAACACAGAAAAAATAAATACAATCTGATAGATAAATATAATTGTTGTTGTTATAAGGAGTTATGTTATCTATGACAATTTTATAAACAAAACCAAAATGAAAATATATTTTTTTAATATGAAAAATATTAAGGATTTTGGTCTGATGCAATCATTACAGAGGAATTATTTAAAATATTATAAATTGATTTTGATTACAATTGCGATATTGTGACATTACTATTAATATCTAATAACAAAACACAATATTGTTTTATCCATATTGTTTAGCCATTCAGAGAAAAAACAAGGATGATAAATAAAATAGTTACAAATTGTCAACCATTACCTTTTATTCTTGCGTTTATCCTTGAGTAATTTATGGGATGTCACCATGATAAAAACTACAACAAGAAATCCAGCTACTGCTGCCAGTCCATTGAATATATTGTTCAGGACATCCACGTCTTCACCTGGAAACAGATGAAATTGAAATGACAGAGATCACATTGAATTGTTTTTCTATATAAACAAAGTATATGGGACCATAGTATTATTTTCCTTCTTCTGCTTTTCCCCTAAAAGTACCTTGACTAACAAAACGGCACAACAAAAGTACTGTCTTTACTCAGGCCCCACATTGCATCAACCAACCACACGATGGCGCTGTGACAACTTTTAAGTTCTTTTCAATAACTTCTTTACTGCGTGGCCCAAAAACTAGATTATCATCCATCAACTATGCTTTGGTGCTTTCAGAAATGTCCTGCTGACAAAATACTACAGCATTTAATCGCCTAAAAATAGTCTCCAACAAATGCACATTATTTTAGCTTGAGTAACGTTTGCTAAAAAATACAGAAAACCACTGTTTTAGAAAATCACATACTCGCTCACCATATTTGTGAAATGTAGATAATATTGAGAGGTAAACCCACAAATTGATTTCTGGGCATTTCATAGCATTTGTTGTGACAAGTAAAACGTATAGAAAATCACCAGCATTATAATTGATTTAAAACCAGACACTTGTTGTCCTTAGTTTAGACCTCCTTTCTTAAAATCTTTCCAAAGTTACCGTAAGCAATCCTCAATCTACTTTTAACCTACAGTGGCTCTAATTTGGACATAATGTGAAGTCGGAAATGATGGATGAATGGCCTAGTAATGAAGGAGCAGGTGTTGGAGCGACACACTTTTGCGGCCACAGGGAGAGACTCATTAGTCTGATGTAAACTCACCCTGAGTAGTAGTGCTGCTAACCAGCATGTGTTTGGTGGAATTCAGGTGGCCGTCATTGACCTCCGGCTTGATGCCCAGGATGTGACACATCAAGGCGTAGATGTTCACCGTCTCGAAGGGCCCCACCTCCAGGTTCTTGTGAAATGCTGGACCCACTGCCCTGAAGAAGGGCTTCATATCCATGTCTTGGTTGTCAAAGCCATGCTCACCCTTGTGGAACTGAACCGGAAAATACTGCAAGGACATAGAGGGATGGATCACATAGCATGCATGACCCAGTTTGTTAGATTCAATTTTATTTGAACTGTTATAAGCCAGTGATGTTATTAATGGCAGCAGAGTTGACACATAATGGCTTGCTCTTATTTAGTCAGCAGAGGGAGGTATTGTCTAAGAGAAAGAGTCATTTCCATTCTGGAGGATGAATGATTGTTTTTTATTTGTGACTTCGATAAACTAAAGAGATTTGCTGAATGATCATCTCTAAAATGTAAACTTTCATAAAACAATCATAAGGCAAATTACTTTATAGTTGTATGTTGTATTTAGCACCAGCACAATGTGATAGAAGTATCAGCATATCTTAGCAGTTATGTAACAGCTTCAACAAGCTTATCCTTCTCTCAGATCAAACTAAGAGGACTTTAATTGGCCATAAATAGGGAGAAGAAAGAATCAGGTCATACAATCATAATCATAACCAGTCATAACCTCTAGACTTTATCCATCAATGTTTTATCTGTGGATTCACACGACTGATTATTTCCCACTCATTCAGCATTTAAAGACATTTTTATGATATCAGTTATTCATTTAAATAACTGTTTTGATGTGTTCCAGTCAGGATTTCGTCCAAACCACAGCACTGAGACTGCTCTTGTAAAGGTCTTCAATGACATCCACTTAAACACAGACAGTGGCAGAACTTCAGTGTTAGTATTATTAGATCTCAGTGCTGCGTTTGACACTGTTGACCACAGCATATTACTAGACCGACTGGAAAACCGGGTGGGACTTTCGGAAACAGTTCTAAATTGGTTTGAATCCTACTTAAAGGACAGAAACAACTTTGTTTCTATAGGTAAATACAAATCTGAGTTGACAAATATGACATGTGGGGTTCCTCAAGGCTCCATCTTGGGGCCTCTTCTCTTTAACATCTACATGCTACCACTGGCTCAGATAATGAAAAACAACAAAATAAGTTACCATAGTTATGCAGATGACACACACATTTACATAACCATCTCACCAGGAGACTATGCTCCAATTCAAACACTGAGTAAGTGCATTGAACAAATCAATGACTGGATGTGTCAGAAATGTCTCCAATTAAACAAAGACAAAACTGAGGTAATGGTTTTTGGAGCCAAGGCAGAACGTATAAAAGTTAGCGCTGAGCTTCAGTGTGCAATGTTCAAAACAACAGAGCCAGAAATCTAGGTGTAGTCATGGACTCTGACCTGAGTTTCAACAGTCACATTAAAACAGTTACTAAATCAGCCTACTATCACCTAAAGAACATATCTAGGATTAAAAGACTAATGTCACAGCAGGATTTGGAAAAACTTGTCCATGCTTTTATCTTCAGTAGACTCGACTACTGTAATGGTGTCTTTACAGGTCTCACTAAAAAATCTATTAGAAAGCTGCAGCTGATTCAGAACGCCGCTGCTCGAGTCCTCACTAACACTAAGAAAGTGGATCACATCACTCCTGTTCTGAAATCTTTACACTGGCTTCCTGTGTGTCAAAGAATATATTTCAAAAATACTGCTGCTGGTTTATAAAGCTTTGAATGGTTTAGGCCCAAAATACATTTCTGATCTACTGCTAAATTATGAACCAACCTCTCAGGTCTTCAGGGACTGGTCAGCTTTCTGTCCCTAGAGTCAGAACTAAACATGGAGAAGCAGCGTTCAGTTGTTATTATTAAGGAGGCGTATTGCGCAGTGGATAGAGCCTTGGTCTGGTGGTCACAGGTTCAAACCCCACTGCAGTCAGCATGTCGTTGTGTCCCTGGGCAAGACACTTCACCACAAATTGCTTCTGTGGGGATTGCCCACAGTATTGAGTATGTAAGTCATTTTGGATAAAAGCGTCTAACAAGTAACATGTAATGTCATAATGTAATAATTATGCTCCAAATATCTGGAACAAACTCCCAGAAACCTGCAGGTCCGCTGCAACTCTTGCTACTTTTAAATCCAGGCTGAAGACTTTTCTTTTTGCCATTGCTTTTAATTGAAACTGAGCGGTTGTGTTTCGTTAATGAACTATTGGGGCTAGTAACCCCAGGGAATCAGTGTCTGGGGACTTTGTCCTGGCTGGTTTTCTCTGTGTATGCTGCTCGGGACGTATGTGCCATACAAGCGTACACAGCTCATGTTCGGAGAAACCTTAAAGAAAGGAATCAGTAAAATGGAACTTCTGTGTGAACTATTCATATCTTAAACTGCACTGTAACTTTTTATTCATGTACTTTTTATTCATGTACTTTTTATTCATGTATTTTTTCTTTTAATGTTTCTTTTATTATCTTTTCTTTTTAATGACTGTTTTTAAATGCCTTTGTCTGAATGTCTTTCATTTTTGTAAAGCACCTTGAATTGCCTTGTGTTGAAAGGTGCTATATAAATAAATTTGCCTTGCCTATAATCAGTTAGTCATATTCATAATCTCAGTTGTAGTACTGTTTCCAAATGTTGCTGCTGCTTTGAAACTGCACTCTGTAACTTGGCATGGTGATTGGCACAAATGGCAACCTGTGGTGACTGTTCACTTTAAAGGGTAAATCAATAGTATTTGCAGCGGGCAGAAAACTCCTGCTGCACATCTTTCTATGGTTTTAACTTTCCAACATGTTGCTTTTTTGGCTAAACCCAATTCAGTGATGTCAGAGAAAGCATTTGTTTGATAACGATTGATCATTTCTAACTGATTATGTAAACAGTTTATATTTCCAGGTGTCAAACAACCAATTTATGACCAAGAAAGATTTAACAAAGGAGACTTTACTCCTATATTTCAACCTACCCCGTTGATTACATATCCAGGGTCGGACCATAAAATTATGGGGAGGATTCGATCGTTTTTGGCGAAGTGGAGGCGCTCTGGCATCTCCTCCTTCTTGAACACATGGAGGTGTGGATGTGACCCCTTCAAAGCGTCATAGACCTTCTGTAGCTTGCCCGGCTTAGGCAACAGCATCCCAGAAGGCCCAAAGTCCACCAGGTGAAAGGCAATGTCGCTGAACGAGAACCCCGGAATTTTGGATAGCGTGATCTCTTCCACTAGACCATTTCGGTACACCGCGCTCATGCCGTGGTCTGCTGTGATAATGATGTTCAGTCTGTCGTTCAGCCCGTGTTGTTCGGCCGAATGTCGAATGTAGCCCACCGTCCGGTCCACTTGCTTCACCATCTCCTGTCGCTCCGGGGAGTCGGGGCCGTACCTGTGACCGATGCCGTCTGGCTCCCCAAAGTAAAGGGATATGAAGTCCAGATCCTGATTGCTAAACCAGTCCATTACCTTGTCTGCGTTTTCTCGCCAAGCAGTCTCATTCTTGTAGTTGTAAAATAGTGGCTCCACTTCCTGCACCATAGCAACCTCTCCCTGGTAACTGGAAGCTGTTCCAGGAAAGTGTAGAGAGCCAGATTTAAGGCCCTGGAAGGGTAGGAAAAATACAAATTACCACCCACATATAAATATAACACATGTACTTGACATGTTTGAAAGCATGCCAAGAGTTGATCTGTATACTGTGGGTTAACATAGAAACCAAATCAGTTGGCTTGTATAGGTGTTTTGTCAAGAGAAATGGTTTCTAGTGCTGCAAACTGCAAAACAATGTCTCAGAGAGATAAGATGGGAATTTTTCTGCACAGACCTGTCGCTGCGCTGTGATCCAGATAGGCAGAGTGCCATTGTCCCACCACTCATTCACAAACTGAGTCTGATAGTAAGGCTTCTTCTCAGTGCTGGTTGTGTTGAACCACATGTTGTGGATTACCCCGTGATTCTCAATGTAGCGGCCTACAGAAGAGAATCACTGTCAGTCTGCTTGCACTCATTATTCACAGCGTGACACATTCATATTAGAAATGCTATCAACTTAACGGGCTGAGTGGCATGAAGTTGGACAAGGTCTTATGACCAACTTCGGAGATTAGAGGAATTTAATTTCAAGGAAGTTACATTTCTTTTAGCTGGCTCTGATGATTTGAGAGTCAAAATAAGAAAAGAAGGAGGGAATTCTTCCCTCAGTCATCCAAGTATAATTATCTTACTCGGCTATAAAAGCTGTTGGACCCTGGGACATTCAATTACAACTAATTCCCTTTTCCCGTGGCTTTTTTTCAATCCTAGCAAAGTAAATTCAGAGCAGTTTCCTATTCCGCTATGATATGCAGATCCCCTACCAACAGGAAGCACTGTGGTAGAAAATGAAACACTTTACCTGTCAAGAGGCTGAAGTGTGCTGGACTGGTGATAGTGAGGTAAGGAGGTGTGACATACAGGGCTTTGACTCCGTCCTTGGCCATTTTGTCAAGGTGTGGGGTGTCCACATCGCGGTCGTAATCCCACCGGAATCCATCAAAGGAGATCAGCAACACCTTCTGTCTCTGTTTGTTTGCCGGGGCTCCAAGAATGGACGGCGCCAAGAGGAGGCAGAGACTTGCAATCCACAGCATGGCAAACACTTCCCAGATCTACACTGACTATATCCTGCAGCTGACACTCTCACTTACAAAAAGATCCACCTCTGTGTCATCTCACCTGAGAGCTCTGAAGCCAAAAGTTTCACTAACTTATCTTATCTCGTAGATTGGACAGACTTTATCATAGGACCTTTTTACCCTACATTGGGCCTGATGGTGTTAATGATTAATTGTTATGACTAAGAGTTTTGTTCACAGTGAATTCCCCCCCACCTCCTGTTTTGCTCTTGAGGACTGGCAGTAAAGCAGATTAATCTCTCCGGGTATCATGGCTGTTTGTTTCCCCCTAACTCGCTTGTTGATGCTGTCTTTCTGTTTATCTGCCCGCCCGTCTGTGTGTCGGAGTTTCCTCTGAATCATTGCCAATGGGGGAACGACACTTTGATGCGTTTCACCTTGACTTGGGATGGTGCATGATTGATCTGACACCAAGAAAATGAAGAGGAAAATGAGAGTATATATCTCTTCATCAGAGTAGTGGTCTCTCGGGAATAGAAGACCCTAATAGTCATATTCATTTTAATAACTACTAACTTTACCACCCCAGGATATTGTTAAAATCTACATTGATTTTTGACAGTGGACAACCTATTAAATTATTAACTGCAGCCTCCTCAGTGTTTCTCCTTTCGGATAATACTTGCTGTTCTCTTACAGACATTATATATATCACCATATTTGTAATGTAACCTTATCAACGTCCAAACAAGCCAACTCTTCAAATGTGTTCTTTATTGTGTGTGTGTGTGTCCTTGGCAGAGGTTCAAGGGAATTGTCCAATCTTTATGGAGATAAGGGATAACATTCATCAGCTTTCATTTACCTCATTCATATTCATTAGCTTTCTCATATTAACTCTATCCGCTTGTCTCCTCTGTCAGCAAGATTTGGAGGAGTGTTTTGGACTGCCGAGACTCGTGCAAGTGTCAGATCATTGCACGGATAACTTTATCAAACACACACAGGCTGAATTTGAGGGGCAATCAAACTTGATCTGACCCTCTCAATCCTGCACAGAGTTCCCTTAGGGATCCTCAATTTTTTTTGAAGAAAAAGGTGAAGACTCTGCCTTTAGCACTCCCTGCTGGCCATCCACAACCACTGCAGTACACCTGACCAAGATAGAAAGCCAAAACAGTTGCATTAGTTTGAGCCAGAGAACATTACTAATTCACAAATAAATAACATGGTATTTCCCAAGCTGAAGGTACATTATTTTTTATCTTTTAGCAACGTTTCTGTTCATGCAGACTTATGCTGCATGTTCATGATACCTTAAGTTGCTTAGAACCTTTGGACATAAATGTCCATATATATATAATACGTGTCGTGTACTACAAACTTTTGAATCTCTCTCTACAAGTCAAATAACTGTTGAGTAAACTTGTCTTCCCGGAAGAATTCTTAGAGTTTTTGTTTTTCTAGGGTTGTCAACCTTCATCTTTTACAACATAACAACAACCATCAGATCATTACTATATATCGAACATACAGTACATTTATGAAATTTAAATCATCCAATCAGAGAAAGGCTAAATTGTGTTGATAGGTGAAAAAAGCACACATTGAGGGTTAGTCTGTACAGACAGCATCTTAAAGCATCCCACAATAAAAATCTTTAAGAAATGCAAAACTAAACAATGCAAAAATGATTACCGTATTCACGAAAGAACATTTTAACAACATTCATATCAAAAACACCTGATGTTCCAAAGTCAAATAATTAGAAAATGGTAATATCAGGTATATCAAGCACCATTATTTAATACAAATATTGATCACATGTATTTACAATTTGGGAAATGACATCACTAGTTGACTTTATTGAGTGATCCTTTGGTAATTCAACTTGTATATTCCAACTATATTTAGCATGGTTGTAATGCATGTTCATATACCCGATGAAGGTTGATGTAATCGCAAATAAACCAACATTAATCCATAGTGGTACACCTACACTTTCAGGTTTGCATAGATATTTTTCAGTTATTTGACAACATATTTTCAGGTCTTTAAAGATTAGTCACATGAGATTTGGATAACAACACGAACACCAAATACATATTTTTTCAGGATGCTGTTAGCATATTTACTTTTACATAAAGTGCCTCTGAATAAACATGAAGAGTAAAGCTGCTCGGTTCGAGCCAGAGAAAATGTAAGTAGGTGTTTAGGGCTGTATGCCTGGATGTAAGGATGCATTCTAATCTTTATACAATAGACCTAAATGTCACTCGAGTTGTATAAAATAATGCAATTTTGTATCATCTAAATGCTGTATTTCAGTTAAACATTTGGAGTTTAATTAAAACAAAACATTCTCAGATGCAGTATTTATGAGTATTCTTCAAACAACAAAAATGTTTGAATTTCAACAATACCCATAAAATGTTTACTCTTAAATCTGACTTGCAGATTAAAGTGATCCAAGAGTAAAATATATAAACACGGCTATCCATTAAATCTTAACTGCATCTGTATTCTGCTCACTTGGCAGTTTGAATGGCAAGCTGCTTCTCTCCCTGCTGTGACTGGAAGTAGACCATCAGGTTCATGCCAGCGTGCCGAGATCGATGTGTTTTGAATTGTGAGTAAACAAACTCTGAATGCATGAATGGCTTATTATCAGGTTACATGCAAGTAAGTTCAAGCGTAAAAATTCAAACAGGAAAACTCCACTGGAGGTGCACCGTACTCTCACTCTGATAAAAAGTGTTTTCATTGATACCACATTGTTTTAAAATGTCAAACATAGTCGTCACGCTGGATCAAAATGTTGTTTTATCAGTTATGGTAGCAAGCAATGGAGGAATCTAAACAAGGCTGAATTTGAACTAATATCAATCTCATATTAGAATATTTGGAAACAAGGAGACTTTTGCAAAAAACTTAAAGCATGGCTCATTATGTAACCGTTTTCCTTTAGATATGTTTGGAAAAACGGTTAATTGTCAGTCAGGTAAATGTTTTTCACTTGAATCTTTGTATATATTTATATCGTATATATTTGTATAGTATATTTTATATAGTTTTGGCTATCTTCATTTTTTTCGATTTTTGATAACCTTGTACAGGGTAGATCTTTTTAAATATTTGAACACTGAATTTACGTTAGTTAGATAACTTTATTACGTTTGATATTTGACTACATTGACTTCAACTTCAAATTGAGCCAGTTGTTTTCCCTACAATGCTAATGCTTTTTTTTGTATATGTATGGAATGTGGGAAGTATTGAAACTATTTCATTCCAAATGTTGATGATTGAATAGAAATGTCTCAAAGTTATTGTTAGGAAATGAACATTCCTCAGTCCTTATCCCCACCCCAATATATTTGGCATTTTGTGATGCATGCTGATCCATTCGTCTCCAACCGGCCCCTTTCTGGAGCAGTCTTATCAGGGAAACCGACCAGATATCAGCAAAGGTCCTGGACTCCTGGTGCAGCAGAAACATGACTGTAGTGCAGCACTATGGAGCAACCTCGGAAGTGCGATATGCTCAACAGCTTCCCCGGCAAACCCCATTGAGCACATTGTTTAATGCCGTACTCTACAGCAGAAATCAAATGTTAACAGCATAGTGCGAAAAACAGTTTTGGTCTCTATTGCTACAATCCTTGCAGGATGTAATTTGTTATATTACTCACCTGAAGTTCAAAGTAATGCACCATTAAGGGTGAGAACTCTTTGAGTGACAGATTGGTGCCGTCACAGCTTCAGGTCTACAGACGATCTACGTTTTTGCCCGTTATTGGATCAATCTGTGGTGGAGGATCCGACACAATGGCACAATGGCCACAGCCGGAGCCCCCCCAACTGAGCTTCACAATGGCTCTTCAGACTCCTATGGGTGACGACACAGATACTATGCACATATTTTAAACAGTCTATCAGCATCACCCAGGGCCATACATCCACAATAAAGTGACATACAAGGAGCTGATGTTTTAAAATATATATATATTGAATCTATTGGGGTAGCATCAACTCTTTAGTGTCCATGTCAGCAGTGCACTGAATCAAACTAAACACTCAAACTGACCTTGAGTGTCTGTCTATCCTTGGATAAAGTCTATATGTGATTTCCGCTCCTTTTATGCGTGTTGACGTTGATTTGATAACAATGAGATTAACATTTAGAGAGGGTGGCAGTCAGTTCCGCCTGAACGGCACAGTGTACGCAACTTACTGTATTAGAATTGAGCAGCAGGAATATGACAGCAGATATAATAAAGTAGCTCTTCCTCCAGCAGGTCACTAGCATGTAATCATGTTCTCTTCCAGTTGCTAACCTACAGTGTATCAGCTTTCCTCTTCATTAATTCCCTATTTGCTCTCTTGAGCAGCATAGAGTCACATGACGCTTTCTTTGTTGTTTGTTATTGCAGAGGCAGTGTCACCATCTGTTATTTAGTGGTACATCAGAACCTAGACAAAATATCAAATCTAGTTAATGATCAGCTAAAGGCTACACCATCAAATCTGTCTTAAACTTAACCTTTAGAAAATAGTTGATTTGTACTTTTCCCTTAAACCTGACCTTCAATTTACCATGATAAAAGCAAGATGATCAGGTATGATATACAACATGACCTAATTATAACACACAACAAGCTAGAAAACGAAATAAATAATGACCTCTATTTACAATAATATTTACAGAAATGGCATATGTTATGCCATATATAGTGATCAATACAACAAATATTCTCCTTGCAGCTGTCTTTCAAAGTTATATAATTATTATGCACTACTTGTATCATGAGTGTACCATAAGTAAGTCTGTACGAACCCAAGAGTCCTCATAGCAAGACATGAAATAATATCTCATCATTTAATCCTTTGGGATGGAATTTGTTGACAAAATAATGTCCTTTTCTTTAGAACTGAAGTCCAAAGCCCTACATGCAAATGAAAGCAATCAAACATTATTATTTGTTCTATTTCTATCAGCAGTAGCCAGGCTTTTT